ATGTAAGTGAAATATCAATATTCATTTTACAAGCATACACAACACATGTATTGTATGTTATTGGGTTGGGCATGGGTCGGGCCGGGTAGTTATCGGCTAACTACCTACTCGACCCGACCACCCGATTTTGCTGAAAATTAAAAACCATTATCGACGCGATCATTATAGGTCGGATAATGGTTGGCCACCAACTTTGTCAAGTAAATAATAGGTGGTCGATTGGTATTATCGGCCATCTATTTGTTTTTAACAATAATAAGACGTTTTTAAAAGTTTTTTCAAAAGATATTCAAAATTTTGGAAAAACCGATGTTGTAAAAATCTTAACTTTAAAATTAAGAGTTTTTATTTTTAATTAAACTTCTACAATAAGTAAATATATAATGGAGAATATGAAATAAAAATAGTACGGAGAGGTTTATAAATTTGTATTTTGAGTTTTTGAGTCATTGAATTTTAACGTCTTTTATATATTATTTTAACATTCAAAAAAATTACAATTAAATATTTATAATAAAATAAATTATTAAAAAAGTCGGTAGGACGATAATATTGGCCAACCGACTTTTGAGTAAATTTAAAACCACCAATCGACCCATTTATATATGGGTCGGTGAAAATTACCAGCCCAACAACAAAATTTTCGGCCGAAAGTGGTTCGGTTGGCCGATAAAATCGACCCATGCCCAACCCTTACGTTACATGCATGGCCAGTCCCACATATTTGGGAGTTTGGGTCATAAATGTAATTTGTACCGTTAATAATATGGAGTTTCGGGGCTTCGAATTTTTTAAATGTTTTTTTTTTTTTTTTTTTTTTGCATATTATGTCTAATTACATAATATAATAATATTTATTAATATAAACTTCATTATCAATAAAACATTGGAAATTTTAATGCATATCTATATATATATATATATATATATATATATATATATATATATATATATATATATATATATATATATATATATATATAATAAATGAGCCCTTAGAAATTGGGCCCTGGGCTTGTGGGCCCTGCTCGCCCCACACCTAGCCCGGCCCTGATTACATGTATGTATATGTGTGTGAGTGAAGATAAACTATTTTGTGAATTTCTTCAGGCCTTAATTATTATAGAGTGCATGTAATTTAACGAGTCAATTGCAAATACCACTCATGTGAAATTTTTAATTGTCAAATACCCCCGGTCACTAATTCTTCCTCTTTACTAACTCTTTTAACGTGAATAGTGGATTTTGAGATGCATTTGTCGTTCCAATGATTTGCTGTCTTTCGGCGTGTCTTTGATGAAGATTTTTTTTTTGGAGGGACTGGAATAGTTGGGTCGGATTCGAAGGTGAAGGAAAAGATGAAGAACCTTAGGGATTTAAAAATTTACGAAAAATGTAGTTTAGTCCTACAAATTTGGGCTATGAATATAATTAAATAATATTGAAGTTAGATTTATCATTAAAAAAAATTGTAAGGGTTTAGTCATGGTTTTGAGCACTAAATAGTTGAAAAATAAGAGGGCATTTTAGATATTTACCATTTTCTGTTAGTTTATTTATCGACCGTTACAAACTGACAACCACAGGGGGTTTAAGTGCCTAAATTGATATCAGAGGGGGGTGAAGTGCCAAAAGGTGAAACCACATGGGGTTAAGTGCTATTTACCCCGATATTTAGTTCTTTTAACTTGAAAGAGAAGAAATAGTTCTATTGACCAATAATTAATTGATGTTTATCTCTTATAACTTGAAAGAAAAGAAATAATCCTATTGACCAAAGATTAATTGATATTTATCTCCATGACTTACTTTGCAAGACATTATAATCTTGGATTTTTTTTTTTTTGGACTAAATAATTTTGGAATTCAATTTTAATATAATATAAATTATATTAAAATTTAGGCGTCTACAAACGCGACTGAAGGGAGCTCAAGCGCATGTGAGTTCAACCATTCACGATCGCACACGGCTATTTGGGTTAATTACTATCTGTAGCTAATGAGATAATTAGCTATAAATAGATGAGTAAGATTAGTAGCTGGATTTGTCAAAGAACTTGTGTATAATTGTACACCCAAATTATCAATACAATCAATCTTCTTCTCTCTGTATTAGTCTTAGTCTGTTTTAGCATGCTATCACCCAAATAGACTTGTTCACCATAAACACTGAAACATCAAACCCAAAATTGAAGTACAAGCATTATGCAGAGGACCACATGAACACATAGAGAAGAAAAAAAATTGAAGTTAAAAAGAAAAATCACCAAGCACGTCGACGGCAATCGGTAATTGCTAGAAAATATAGTCAGTAGAATATGGCAGAGAATTAAACATTATGGGGCAAACAAAAGCTAAGTATAACCAGAGTTGATCATTGAGGGGCGACATATCTTCGAAAATGTGAAGGTAAAAAGGAAGAAAAAATTAGAGAAGCATAAGAATTTTAGGTAGTGGAGAGAAGAAGGGAGAAGGATAAATAAATAAAATAAACTAGACCATAGTAAAAAAAAAAAAAAAAAAATTATAAATTCTTTAAGGGTATATGCATTCTTAAGATATTAAATATTATTTTATTATTTTAAGACATGGATTAATATATTATATTTTTGGGCAAATAACAAATAGGCTCCTCAATCCAAAGGACTTAAATGCACATAGGTCTATACAAAAAACAGTCTTGCAAATAAACTCATATCCATGTCTTTTGTTTAAAATACTCTCCATAATAAATTTTCATCAATTCCATCCATTATACTTTAACTTCATTAATACTGCACGTTTGAACAAATATATTACATTAACCCCCATTTTCATATTTTTTTGAAAAATATTTTTTTTTTAGTAAATATTTTTTTTTGAAATTTTTATTCCGGCCCGATTCCGCCGTTGACAGCGCGATTCTCTGGCGTTGACTTTTATTTATTTTATTTTTCTTCTTTTTTCGAAAACCCTTTTTTTTGAATTTTTATTTCGGTCGGTCAACCTTTGTTGACCGCTGGTCTCTGGCGTTAACTTTTTGTTTTTTTGAATTTTTTTTTCTCTCTATTACTGTCACAAACAGTAATATTACTGTCCCGAACACTAATATTATGAATATTACTTTCCAGAACATCAATATTACTAATAATATTGTACCAAAAAGTAATATTATTGTATGAGACAGTAATATTACGGTCGAAGACAACAAAATTGTAGGCTAAGACGATAAAATTAATTAATACACTAATATTACTGTCTCAAACACTTAAAAGTCAACGCCAGAGACCGGCGGTTGACCTGCCGTAAAAAAAAATCCAAAAAAAAATGTTATCAAAAAAAAAAAGTCAATGCCGGAGACTTGCGGTGGCGGTCAAAATTGGAATAAGGGTCAAAATTGATTTATTGGGATAAATTGTGGTGTAAATCATGAAATTAGATTTGAATTAAAGTTTCAAGGAGCTAGGGTAATTATGGTATATATAAAATGGTTTTTCTTATTTGCAATTAAGTTTGAATGATATGAATTATTCGGAAGACAAAAAAGTCGGATGTCCATTTTTTAATTAAGCGTTCTTATCATGGGTCTATTTAACATTTGACCTATATTTTTCAATGATTACCTTGTGTAAAAGTATGTTGTTAAAATAGAAATACTTTATCAATATATTTCTAATTTTAATTATTCTTTCTAAAATATCCCTCAAGGTAGATATTAACAGTGTACGTTCACGTACATTTTGTAGAACAATGCATGTGATACAAAAATAATTTACATTTTAGATTAATAATAATATGGATATGTTTATTTAAAATTAAACATATATTAATTTTTAATATATTTAATTATGAATATCTTACAACCTAAGGAAAGTTAGGAATTGCCAGATAGCTTGTTATAAGACAATTGCATATAGAGAGGAGGTTCATGCAATTGAATTTCCCTATACCTATTCATAGTTGCTATAAATTATCCTAATGATTATATTAATCAATGAATGTTGCTGCAAGAAATATTCACCGTTGAAACCCATTAGTTTGTGCAGAAGCTTAATTGGTTGGCATTATTAAGAAATATTTGATCCATGTAAGCATTGTTCTAAAAATTGGTCGAGGCGTTCAATTATTCGATCTCCGAGGCGGAGGTGGTTTAAAACTTGTACGATTTTAGTGCAAATGTTTGAAAAATCGATTTTTGTCTGTGAGGTGGTTTTAGGCGGTCTGAGGCGGGTTGAGATGGTCAAACATTAGAGGCGGGTCAAACTTTAGTGGCAAAAATCGGTCAAAAATTGATTTTTTTTTTATATAATTTATAAAAAAATTGGACTTTTAATTATAAATGAGTTTATGCTTTATTTTATTTTGTTATGCTTAATTTTTATTTTTAAAGGACTTAATGATATATGCTTGCCATGTTAAAACATAATTTTGGATGACAAGATTTTTGTTTTATTTTTATTTTGTTAATATTTTTATTATATTATGATCTTCTTATTATTAAAATTGTATTATGTGATTAAGATATATAAATAATGAGGAAAAAATAATGTTTAATAAATATATATATATATATATATATATATATATATATATATATATATATATATATATATATATATATATATATATATATATATTTTTGAAGTATTTATAAATAATATCAAAAATTATATTTTATGAAATTTAAAAAACCGAGTTATTCGGATTTATCGCCCATTAATCACCGCCGCACAAATTAATCCTAAGGCGGTGTCTAACCGACTTGGGTCCAATTCCCACATTTTACAACCTTGCATGTAGGTTGTAAAAATGAAACGATCAGATCATAATTCTACCATCATCAAGTTCAGTCAGGCGTTGTTTTTTCTTTCATTTTGGATAATCAATATTCTTCATATAGCGATGCAACACAAGATCACTGATTTATCTTGTAAAAGAATTTCTGTCAACAAAATTCATATATACATGCACTAAACCTCTCTATAAGAAGAACAAACTAAAAAAAAAGGAAAGAGAAGTTGTTAGGGTTGTGGTCGGAAAATAGCCTGCTCTTGCTGCGGCGGCAGTGGTGGCCGCCGATGACCAAAAGCAGGTACATGGTGCTGGGGGCTATCGGGCGAGCCGAGTATATGTTCTCCATGCCCCTCCATCCCTACATATTGTTGCACCACTAACACCGAATATGTTGTCGCAAAATCCGACGAAGCTAATAAATCACCTATTGCTCCAAGCTCGGGACACTCGCTCCAATCGCTAAGCCCTGCCGTGACGGGCGATATCATTCCGTGTCCCCTCCCGACTACAAACATGTCATGTCTTGTATCTATCGACCTTATTGCAGCCACCGTTTCCTCCCCGTGATTCACCACTTTCTCGACATAGTGCACCGAAGAATCGTTCATTGTCGCGGCCCTAAACTCGTTTATGTACGCCTGGTCCATCTCCTTCTCTCTGTCGTCGTCGGTTAAAACGGTTAATGTCTCATGCCCTGTCTCGATACTACTATTAGCCACCGCGTCCGCCATATCTCCTCCCTTTGTGGTGTCCGGTGCGGTTTCTCCGAGGACGAAGCGCATTACGGTGAGGCTGTTGCGTGGGTGCTCGGACATTCTCCAAGCCAAGGCCATCGCCTCTCTGTCGTCGGGCCCCCCGAAGAAGAGCAGCGCTATATGGTGGTGCGACATTTGATTGGCCGACGCTCTGCTGGACCCGTTGAGTCCCCTGTCTACGAGTATTCCGACCGAGCAAGGCGCGTTGGCCAATACGCTCTGATTGATAATGCGGAAAGCGGGATTCGTGGCCTCCATACCTCCGTCCACCGTTTGTTGTTTGTGGAAAGGGATTATAATGAACGCCACTCGTTTGTCCTCTGCGACGGTGAATATGTCTTCATGCATTGTCGAGTAAGGCGAGATTGCGGTGAGGGGGTTCACCGTCACGAAACCCCCTTGCCTCTCGAAATTCTCGAAGGCGTTGAATATGTGCTCCGATTGGGCCTGCGCGAGGTTGAGTGCCGATCGGCCGGATTTTCTAGTGTTGTGGACGATGAGCACTGCCGATGCACGACCGGTGAGCTCGACAAGGTGGAGGACGTAGGAGGAAATTGGAGATTTCTTTGTGGGGTTGGATGCTTCTAGAAGGTGGATTATCGTCGGCACATTTCTCGGAACGTGCACGCACACTAGGAGACGAAACTCGCCTTTGAGTTTGGTTCTTTGGATTGTTCTCCTTTTGTAAGCCACGAGCTTCCTCCCCGGCCTGTATATGTTTGTCACTATCGGCTGGATTACTGCGGTCATAACAATTTCCACTACGATCATAATCGCAAACGACTTATCATCAAGAACCTGCAGATGTAATTAACATATATATTGATCATCAAACAATTTGAATTATTGAGATACAAATTTTAGATTGATTGTAAGAATTAGTACTACATACATGTTGGTCTTTCCCAACATTAAGAACAATCATCTCCACCAGCCCTTTGGCGTTCATGAGCAAACCAAGTGTTAGCCCTTCGTAAAATGGGATTCTATAGTAAAGAGAAACGAGTAGAGTGCCGGTAACTTTTCCTGCACAAGCAAGAACAATCACAAGCCCGAGAATGGCCCACGTCCCGACTCCGTTTATCAAAGTAAGGTCCGTTTTCAATCCACTAATCGCAAAGAAGAGTGGTAGCAATAGTCCCGTAACAAAATCTTCGAGCCTCTCTATTAGTGTCACTCCAATCGGCCCACTAGGGATAACTAAGCCAAAGATGAAAGCGCCAAAAACAGAATGCGTTCCAATAGCATCGGTTATAAAACCCGATATCATAACTCCCGTAAGAATGAGGCATATGTACACTTCGCTAATCAACTGCCCTTCGGGCGTTCTTCTAACGATCCAACAAACGAGCGGCCTCATTACATAATAGCAGAAAAGAACAAACGCTCCGGTGGAAAGCACCACCCACAATGAAGACAATGACAACGACTCATTCTCGGCTATGGCAATCGCAATGGCTAAGAGAATCCATGCACAAATGTCGTTAAAGAGAGCCGAAGCCATAGCTATTCGCCCGATCTCGGTGTTGAGAAGTTTGAGCTCTGCTAGAATACGAGCGAGCACGGGGAACGCTGTGACGGAAAGCGCTACGCCTAGGAATAAAATGAAAGTGCCTAATTTGACCCACTGCGTGCTCTCGTGGAGTGTGAAGGCGAATGAAACGCCGATTAGGAACGGTAGAATCATGCCGGCGATTGCAATTACGAATGTTCTTCTTCCTGTGCTTCTAATTACGGCAATGTCCATTTCTACTCCGACGAGGAAGAGGAAGAATAAGAGGCCTACGTTTCCCATTGTCTCGAGAATCATTACACTCCGAGGTGGGAATATATTGTTTGCAAATTGTTTGCTTTGTCCTAGCAGTGATGGACCCAATATTACACCACCCTGTATACAATTTTCATAAAAGGTACGAATTTAGTACATTATTTCATGAGCCAATCGAAGATCTCAATAAAGGATCTTCAGTTGTAACAAATGAGAAGGAAAACAAGAAAACAATAATTGATTAGTGTATGCCTAATTAGATCCAATTAGCTGAAATTCAACAGTATTTACAAGCAATCTGATACAAATACTAGACTTAAATTGCAATTTTTAATCATATGGTTCAAGGGGCGTTACCATTTTTTGTACATGCTTCAAAAAATCGAAATTTAATTATTGCAAGTTTTCTAATAACATTTATCATTGGAATTAATACAAAAAATGTAAAAGAGAGATAACAAACACACAAATAGGTAAAGAAACAAAGGAATGAAAGTGGAATACTTACAAGGATCTCGGAAATGACACGAGGTTGACGAAAGGGCTTCAAGATAAAAACAAGAAAACGAATGGTAACGATGATGAGCAAGACCTGCAATATGAATAGTGGCAGAGAGTAGTCCAACGGGTTATCCCCTTGCCAAATACCATTCGTCGTTATCATTGTTGGAGCGTAACATACTATCAATTGATCCGAACTGTTTGACATTTTCCTCTTCGCTACGGTTTCTCAAAAAAGAAAAAAAAAAGAATTTGTATTGTATATCTCTACTTGTTATTTCTCTTGTCTTGTAAAACAAATATTAAACTACTTTCGTCGTTTGGAACGCATACTCAGAATTACTAATGACACCGTCACAGTGTGAGGAATCGAAAGTGGAAATGAAAGAGAGGGAGAAACACAACTGAAAAAGTGGGAAAACAAAATTAATAACAGATTTAACTATCTCATATTTGAGACTATTTTCAGTTTAGTTTGAGTGGTAACCCTTGGATTAGGGACTATATCATGTACCAACAATCAGAGGTGTATTTTCTTCTGAGTAGCTATACCAATTGCTAAGGGCTCCCAAAATATAATGGGGATCGATCAAATATTTGTACTTCTGTAAAAGTAGTTTACTAATTTTACTAACATTCAATGAAACTGATTTTTTTTTTCCAAAAATAATAAAGGCAATAACCATTGAAAGCTATTTTTATTTGTAACATTGGAAGAGAATATTTTATAGGGTAAATTACACCCACACCTCTGAGGTATGCTTAAATAACTTTAATGTCCCTGTGGTATCGATAATTACACCCACCCCCAGAAACATAGTTAGAAACTCTAATGGGATAATGCATTGGATACGTTATTCCGATAGAGTTCTAACGGACTATTAGTTTCAGGAAGTGGTGGAAACAACAAAGAGCTATGGGTGATTTAAGAAATGTTGGGGGAGCCATGTCACCCCCTAACTCTACGTTGTCTCCACCACTAACTAAAAGTAATAGTCAATTAGAACTCCCGTAATAACGTGTCCAATGCATTAACCTATTAGAGTTTCTAATTATGTTTCAGGGGTGGGTGTAATTATTGATACTACAGGGACCTTCAAATTATTTAAGCTTACCTCAGGGGTGTGGGTGTAATTTACCCTATTTTATATGGTGTAATTTAACATGGGGCATTTAAATACAAGTCTATAGTGGCCTATTTATTCATAAATAGGTCCACCTAAAAAAACACATTTACATTAAGGAGTCTTAGGATATAGGTCCCAGATGACAAAACTTATTTGAACTAAATGACAAGTCTAACTAAACATTTGTTTCACATCCTTTATAAAATTCATTCCAAAAATGCCCCTCCACTCACAAATTCGAAATATTCATTAAGTAAATTCCAAACTGCATTTATCATTTTATTTATTATGCATTTAATATTTTCGTATTTCCATCTAATAATTTTTTTCTCAGAATATCGTTTTGTCTTCCTTTTTTTCTTTATTCATTTTAGCATTTTATACACTATTATAAAAATTTCTTTATTTTTTTCCTTTTTTTTTCCTTCTTAATATTGAGAATTATAAAAAAAAAAACATGCTATTTTTTTTTTATTTCAATTTACATATTTTTCAATTTTTCTATAGTATACTATGGTATTATATTACGATGTACTGTAGTATACTATAGTGTAGTGATGTACTATGGTATACTACGGTGTACTATACTTTACTACCAAACCCTAGTCACCAAGCCGCCGCCAACCCTAGCAACCCACGCTCGCAGCCGCCGCGACTATAATCACTTACCAACTTTGGGAAAACTTAGATCTGACATTTGAACCCAAACCAAGCAAAAATATTTCAAAAAACAAGGAAATCAAATCCAATTTATTAGTAAAAAATATACTTTCCATAACATCTCAACCATAATCACAGCCCCCGCCACGCACAACCCCCACCACGCCTCCACCCGCCTCCACCTGACGCCGCCACCGCCTCCACCCGCCGCTGCTGCCTCCACCACTCTCTCTCGATCCACGGCCCGTGTTCCTGCTCCCACCATCGCCGGCGGTGGTTGCTTAGAGAGAGAGAGAGAGAGAGAGAGAGAGAGAGAGAGAGAGAGAGAGAGAGAGAGAAATGGAGATACATAGAACGTGTGAGTGAGAGAAAGATGGAGAGAGAGAACGTGTGAGAGAGAGAGAGAACAAAAAGAAGAAAAATAAATCTCAATTGACGTGAATGTCTAGGTTTATATAATTTAGGGTATAAAGGCAAGATAGGGTTTAAAAAAAAATTAGGGATGTGACTCATATATTGTTTCAAACTAAGGATTTAATTAAAAGATTGAATTTGGATTTGTCATTTAGTTCAAATAAGATTTCCTTTGAGGGGCTTATGGCATATTACCCCTTACATTAGATGGCAGACAAGGCCAAAGCAGTCAAGATAAAAATAACCGGTCAAGCTCTAATATACACCAATTTCATCCATTAAATCCCAACTTAACCCAATTATTTAATTTTGACCATTAACAAAATTTTGACCGTCGCCGGCCTCCGATATTGACTTTTGTTTTTTTCAATTTTTGTTTAGGATTTTTTTTTTCGGCCACAATCGTTGATGTTGTATTCAGTTATTTTTTTAATAAATTTATTTTGAGTGTCGTTGACCGCCGGTCAACACCAATATATGGCGTTCCCTTTCTGTTTTTCTTTTTTCGAAATTGTTCTCAACAAAATATTTCCCGTTGCTGACCGACGTTTTTTTTTTTCCTGAATAGTCTTTACCCGATAAAAGCAGTAATATTAATGCGTTTCACAGTAATATTAGTACATTACCTTTTAGTTACATATATATTGCTACAACATGAAAATATAAATTTATGGACATCTATTGAAACAAGAAATATTTTATGCAAATTAAATTGGGAGTAAGGCTTATCTCTCTTTTTCCAAAAGCACAAACGAAAAGTTGTAAACAGCTATTACTAGGCATAAGTTTCAAATGTAACTACAATTATTGTTTTACGTACCGTTTTATCTGCAGGAGACTTAATCTCGGCAGAGAACCGTTTGATCCCGAGAGAGAACGCACTTTTCGAGCCGCTAGGAGACTTCAATGTGAGAACAATATAATGGAAGACGAAGAACGCTGAGACGCATAGGGTTATGTTCTCGATGAAGATGGAGTTCGAATCCAAGACCATCCCCACGACTTCCACTACAACCAGTCATTAGGCCGCGAGCACTTCAGGACTACATAGTCCCCACTCTTGTTGGATTCCACCCAAGCATCCAGTATCCACCCATCGAGGCTCATAATTTTGAGATCAAGCAAGGCCTCTTGACGATGCTCCAAAATAACGAGCTATTTAGTGGATTGGCAGATGAAGATCCTCATCTTCACATTGTTAATTTTCTCGATACCTGTAATTTGCATCGTCAAAATGGCGTTTCCGAAGAGGCGCTCCAATAATTCTCTTCAAACACTCCCTGCATGGAAGAGCTCGCAAGTGGTTGATGTCTCAAGCCCCTCATTCTATCTCGTCATGGCCTCAACTCCTAAACTTTTTATGAAAGTTTACAGCTCACCAAAGAAGGATGAAAGAATACGACGGGAGATTCACAATTTCGTCCAAAAGCAAGGATAAGCACTATTCGAGGCATGGGAGAGATTCGAGACCCATTTAAGGCAATGTTTAACTCACGGAGTGGAACATTGGCGACAAATACACATCTTCTACCAAGGAATTAACGAGAATGCGAAAACAGTCTTAGATGCATCAACGGGAGGTAATTTTATGAGTCAATCTATACCTGATGCATTTATTTTGTTGGATCAGATTGCGCAGAACAGGTTTGCCAAATCAAGCGAAAGGACAATCAGTAGAGCCAAGAAGGTCCCCGAGGTTTTGGAACCAAATGCACTTACAACCCTCCAAGCTCAAGTGACCCAGATTGCCCAACAAAATCAGCTGCTTATCCAACACATTAGGGCAAACCCACCACAGCAAGTCCACCCAGTGAAAGCACCGGAAGGACCTGTGTGCTGCGAAATTTGTGGAGGAAATCATTATACACTCCAATGCCAACAACAGGTGGAATCACTCAACCACGTCAACAATGCACCTCACCAATTCCAAAATCAAGGTGTAGATCGCAAGGCCAATATAGAGGCAATCAACAAGGCCAAGGGTACCGAAGATCTCAAGGTCAATTCCAAAATCAAATCTCTCCTCAACAGAGCTATCAAGGAAACAATCCACCGCCCCAAAAGTCAAGATCAAACATTGAGGAGGTATTGGCCCAATTTATGACTGCCACTCAAGCCTGGTTGGGCAACTTAGAGACTCAAGTGGCACAAATCACATCGGACCAGGAACATCGTCCAGCAGGAGGGTTGCCATCAAATACAGAGGACCCTCGAAAGCAGAAGTTTGAGACTTTTCAAGCCATAGATCTAATGATTGAGGAGAAGGAAGAAATTCAATGAAAACCGCAAGCCACTGTAGTCGCATGGGTACCACCGATCCCATACCCCCAAAGATTTCAAAAGAAAAAGATCGAGGCTGAAACTTGCCAAGCAGTCAGCCTGAAGAACGAGAAGTAATTGGAGGAAGTCCCACAGAAGGAGAAGCGAAACACGACAATCGAGAAACCAAGAGTATTAGAGGAAAAAAAAAGCAAGTCAAGAAACACAGCCAACGACAGTAATTTCACGGGCCCCACCGATTCCATATCCTCAAAAGTTTCTTAAGAAAAAGCTCGATGCCGAATACCAGAGTTTCTTAGACAAATTGAAGGAAATTCACATCAATATCCCATTCTTTCATTGAAGCACTTAAAAAAATGCCAACGTGGGTAAAATTCCTCAAAGACCTCGTGAGCAAGGGGAAGAAATTGCAAATGAACGAGATGATCCAACTCACCGAGCAATGCAGTGAAATTCTTACACGGCCCCTCCCATAAAAACTTGGCAATCAAGGTAAGTTTACTATCCCTTTTACTATAAGAGGTAAAAAAATTAGATCGCTCATTGATTTAGGAGCTAGCATAAATCTTATGCCTTTCTCTACTTATAAAAGTCTTGGGTTAGGTGAGATTGAACCGACGGCTATAACTATTCAACTAGCCGATAGGTCTTTAGTTTACCCAAAAGGTACTTTAGGGAATGTTCTAGTAAAAGTTGATAAACTTATCTTTCCTGTTGATTTTGTTATACTTGATATAGATGAGGAATAGGAGATACCTCTTATTGTAGGAAGACTGTTTTTAGCTACGTCGAGAACCCTCTTTG